ATAAACATTTTTTTTAATATTTTTATTAGTTACTGATAGATCTTTAAATAAAGATATGTGGTGCTGAGGATCGAACCCAGTGCCTCACACATGGTAGGCAAGTGCTCTACCACTGAGCCACAACCCCAGCCCAAGATATAAACATTTTCTAGTTTATATCTGTATTTCCCAAGTCTAAGGTACAGCTCAGTGGTATCAGTTCTTGTCTAGGATGCTTAAGGACCTAAGTTTGATCCCTAGCACCATAAAAAAAAAACAACCCTGGGGACTGGGGATGTGGCTCAAGCGGTAGTGCGCTCACCTGGCACGCGCGGGGCGGGGCTCTGGGTTTGATCCTCAGCACCACATAAAAATAAAATAAAGATGTTGTGTCCACCGAAAAAAACTGGAAAATAAATATTTAAAAACTCTCTCTCTCTAAAAAAAAACAAAAACAAAAACAAAAAAACCCTGGATTTCTCAAGGCATAAATAACAACGCAAGAAGAAAAGTGAACTAGAGAAAGAAGCTAACTCTCTCCTTAGTGTGCTTGGCTTTTAGCACACCCACAATGAAGGAAGAAGGATACCATTTAAAGTAGGTCTTAGAAACAGAAAGCTAAGTGGATCTAAAATAATATTGGTACTAAGGTAACAGGAATCTAATCTCTTTAATATATGCCTGGCCTATTATATTATATCAAATGCTAAGTATATTTCTGTGACCAAATGTAAATGACTTTTCTTGGTCACAGCTTTGTATATCCAAATTAATTATCAACTTTTGTTTTGGTTTTGGTACCAGGGATTAAATCCAGGGGCATTTAACCACTGAGCTACAATCCCAGCCTTTAAATTTTTTGAGACAGGGTCTTGATAAATTGCTGAGGCAAGCTTTGAACTGGAGATCCTCCTGAGTTACTGGGATTATAGGTATGAACCACCATACCTACCTATTATTAATTTATTAAATACCCAGCTATTTAATAAATGATTTTGCCATAAGTCACATTGTCTTCATCAAAAGCCAAAGGAAAATTTTAACTGCTTTGATAGGACTTTCTCCTTATATAAACAAAACATGAATCATTAATAATTCATAGTAGTGATAAGTGTTTTTTATCTTCCTAAAGATTTCTTATTCTGATGCAAGATGTTTTTAATATACCTATAGCACATATATTGTCTTTAAGAATTTAAGTGTTATAACTGAAAGATACAACTATCAATTTTCTTCTTGTCACAGTAAATACCCAAGAAGTAGACCTGATAAGCAATTCAGAATTAAGTATTTTTTAAATTAAATTATCTTTATTGAGAAAGATGAACTGTAAAACCTGTATAATTCTTTCCTACTAAAATTGTGTTAGGTAATTAAAGAAAGTACAACAAAGCTAGTGCACATATGTGAGAGATGACTCTCAAATGCAGAATTGGAATTATAAACCTTACAGACCATAGCACAACGTTCCTGTGATGCCATCACTCACCTGCCTCCCTGGCCAGAAGTTTTGGCCTGGCCAGGCAGATCTTCACATACAGGAGAAATTATGTCAAACTGTATTGGGGTGTCTGGGGCAACAAGAGAATCTAGAGAAAGGGCAGCCAAATTTGTGGACTCAGATCCTAAAGATCCTGAACTGCTGGTTCGAGCTGTTGGTGGCCGAGATTGTCTAAGCACAAAGGAAAACAAGAAAGCACTGCCTTTAGTTTTCTTTTGGAAATTGAACAAACTATGAAAAAAACTGTTTTAACTCAATGAGACAGTAAAGCAAATTTCAATAAATCACAATCCCAAATCATAGCTACCTAACAACAGACTTCTTTCTTTTCAATTATTAAACTAAAAAAAAAATCACCTCTATCTAGAGATTTAGTTGAAAACACTAAGGAAATTTGAAACCATCATTTACTTAGCACTCTTAATGATGAATTTATCATTCTGAAGATATATTTTCTCTGTTGTTAAGGGAACTATTTATTAATGTTACGTAGCACTGCTAAAATCAAAGTGCTCATAAATACTTTAAATAGCCCATATAGTTCTTTAAATAACTCAAGTGTGGTAACTTACCCTGCTGGCCGCAGACTCTCATGCCTCTGCTGAAAAGAAGGGGAAGGAGTGACAGCTTCCAGAGCTGACTGATTTACTCGTGCAGCAGTTTCCTATTGTGATTTTTTTTAAAGGACAAATTAGTCTTATGAGAAACCAAATATTTGAACATAATTCTGAATTGTCAGAAGGCTTCTAAGTTACACTAAAATATGAAGTAAAGCTACTAAAGTAGTTCTACGTTGTCTTGTCTTACTATTATGGCATAAAACTATAAACTAAAGTTTCCTATTGCTTCTTATAATCTAAAAAAGTATGATTACTCTCTACTAATATGCATAATGGGTAAAATATTGGTTTTTCTACAAATTTTTAACTACTAGGTATCTTTAATTAAGGTTTGTAATGCTAGAACCAAGCAGTCACTAGCACTATGGACATTCAATACATTTGTTGAACACAGGAATTTAGAAGGTACAGGAAATTTCACAAAATGAGTTATTATTTTGTAACTTTGCTGGTAAAGTTTTCATAATATATTTATATTCAGAAATATCTATAAGCTTATTAATTTATAAAGTTATCATGGATATTTTCAAAACTTTAAAGTGAGAAAGATTTCTAGATTATTACTTTTTTTTTTTTGTACTGGGGATTGAACTCAGGGACGCTTAACCACTGAACCACATTCCAGCCCTTTTTTTACATTTTATTTAGAAACAGGGTCTCACTGAGTTGTTTAGGGCCTCGCTAAGTTGCTGAGCTGGCTTTGAACTTGAGATCTTTCTGCTTCTGCCTTTCAAGTTGCTGGGATTACAGGTATACACCACCATACCTAGCTCTAGTAGTATTTTAACTTATTGTTTACTTAAAATACCAGCTACATGAAAATGATATTTAGAGATCTGCTTTAATGCGTAAATAGTCAGTGTTATTCTATACACACTTAAAAAAGATAATGATGTTAAATTTCATGTTTTTATCACAAACAAAATGGTCATTAAGGGCTACAGTTTGTAGCTCAGTAGTAGAGTGTTTACACAAGCATGTGCAAGGATAAAATTTCTAGGAAGGAAGGAAGGAAAAGGAAAAAAGAGAAGGAAGGTAGGGAGGAAGGAAAGGCAAGAGGAAAAGTAAAATTAGGAAAACAACAGAACAGTTTTCTATTTCTGTGCCTCACTGCAAAAATACAAATATTATAATGGCACAAATTGATCCAAATTGCTATTCTCCTTAATATAGATATTATAATTCTGGATTACCTGAAAATATTAACAATTAGAGTTCTGATAATTGGCAAGAAAAAACTCTAAGTCTGAATTATTCAAATCTAAATATTGTATTCCCTAGGCAATAACAAATAATTCAATTTGCTTTTGGGGGGATTGGGAGGATACTGGGGATTTTAACACAGGGGCACTTTACCACTGAGCTGTATCCCTAGCCCTTTTTATTTTCAGATAAGGTCTCATTGCTTAGGTCCTCCCCAAATTGAAGAGGTTGGCCTCGAACTTGCGATCCTCTGATCTCAGCCTCCGGAGTCCCAAGCAAGATATCACACCAGGCTTTAATCTGCATATTTTTTTTTGTTTTTCCAAAGTTACTTTATAAGAAGAAAAAGTTATATTGGCAGGAAATCAAGTTACTAAAATCAAAGGTTTTGTTTTCACAGTTAGTATTGATTTAAAAAAAATTTTTTTATTAGTTGTGGATGGACACAATACTTTTATTTTTTATGTGGTTCTGAGGCTCAAACCCAGTGCCTCACACATGCTAGGCAAGCACTGTACCATTGAGCTACAAATCTAGTCCCTAGTGTTTTGTTTTTGTTTTTTTTGCAGTACTGGGAATTGAACCCAGGGGTACACTCGCAGCATTCCATTCCAACCCTTTTTTATTTGAGACAGGGTCTTTCTCAGTTGCCTAGACTAACCTCAAATTTGTGATTCTGCTGCCTCAGCCTCCAGAGATGCTGAGATTATAGCTATGCACCACCACATCTGGCACAATTTCCCTACCTTTTGAAATAATTTACTGTTCTAGGAAAGTCAGACACTCATAACATACATGATACAGTAAGCTACCCAAAGTCAAATTAAATGACTATAGAACTTGAGAAATTATGACACAATTAATAGGAATCATGTAAGCCTAAGAATTGTTATTCATTGTACTAGATCTGGGTAACATAAAACAAAAATATTACCTCTGGATTTTCACTTAAGTATATTTGTTTAGATATATTGTTTATTGTACAAATCCACTGCAAAAAGAAAAAAAAGAAAAATAGATTAATTTTTTTCAACAAATTTCTAAAGGACAATGTTCAATAAGCAACTAAATAAAAGTTTAATTAGAATAAATATATAATCTTCTTTAATAAGAAAACACCTTGGAACCGGAGGGAGTAGAGGTGGTAGAACACATAATAATTTACCACATACAAGGCCCTGGGATCAGTCCCCAGCACCAAAAAACAAAACAAAACAAAACAAAAAACACCTGGCATAACCATGTGCACATAAGAGAACATTCACATTTATAATTTTAAAGGTCCTAAATTTATTTCACATGGAAAATAAAAAGTATAGCAATCGTGTTAAATTATTATTTAATAATCTGTATCTTTTTATATTACTCCTACCCTTAATCCCCACCAGACAACACAGTCTAAACTCAGATATCCTAATTCAAAAATTAAGAGATAAATATCTTTCTGGTGAAAATATATATATTATTTTTTAATATTTATTTTTTAGTAATATTTTAAAAGAAATTATTTTTACTAATTTTCATCACACCAGGAAATGTAAATTGACAAATGTTAAGTATATATATAAAATCTCCCTTCTTTCAACATAGAAAACACATTCTGTTCTACAACTTCTGTTTCACTCTCAAGAGGATCCCAGTGCCTGATGGGCCTCATTAAACTCAACTAATGTTTTGTTTGGTAAACCATGCAGAGGGCAGAGATATTTATCTGTGTTCCTCAGGCACCAAAAACAAGTTTTAATGTGAACTGTTTCCCAGGAAAAGTAAATAAAAGTAGATCTCTCTACATAATTTCCAACTTTATCTTACAATACAATTATAATTAGATAAAAAGTCTCAAAATCAAGTTATGCTGTATTTTCACGGAAGAATATTTCACAAGGTAAAGTTTTTGTTTTGTTTTTAAATATTTATTTATTTATTTTTAGTTTTCGACGGGCACAACATCTTTGTATGTGGTGCTGAGGATCGAACCTGGGCCGCACGCATGCCAGGCAAGCGCGCTACCGCTTGAGCCACATCTCCAGCCCCATACAAGGTAAAGTTTTTGAAGTATCAGTTCTTAGTAGTACCTTACCTTCCTTTTTGGTGTATCAGTAATAAAAATGGAGCCAAAACTAAAAGCATTATGAGGAAGAACAAAGACTCCCAAATTTTCGTTTTTCTATCTTTCATTTCCCTAAGGTTTTAATTTTTTATTGTATCCTGTCATGCCACATCTACTGCTACTATGTTTTTTTTTTTTTTTTTTTAAAGAGAGAATGAGAGAGGAGAGAGAGAGAATTTTTAATATTTATTTTTCAGTTCTCGGCGGACACAACATCTTTGTTGGTATGTGGTGCTGAGGATCGAACCCGGGTCGCACGCATACCAGGCGAGCGCGCTACCGCTTGAGCCACATCCCCAGCCCCTGCTACTATGTTCTTAGTGCAGCAAATAGCATCTCAAAGGATTGGTATAAGAGAATAAATTAAACTGTTACCACATGATACTGACAGACTGCCAGAAGGCAACAGACACAAGGTTGTTGCTGAATTTGAGCCTTTAAGATGGCAGAGACATGATCTTTAAGGCGTCTCCAACTATAAAATTCTATGAGAAACTTAAGAATACTGCTTTAGAACAAGACTTGAAAAATAAACATTTTTAAATTTAACTAGGGTTTTCTAAAATTTGTATAATGAACATTTTTTTGTTTTGTCCTCAGAAAAGTATTTTTAAATGTTGCTGAAGAAATTAACTAAACTTTTACCTCTTCATGGTCTTTTTTACTCTCTGCTTGCAAAATTGAAGATCTGAAGAAAAATAAAAGAAAAAAGTTTCAGCCTTTTTTAAAAGAAAAAGAAAAAACAAACACCACAACCAAGAGTATTTTAGGAAAGGAAAACCACCAAAGGCATTAGGACTAATACTTTTAACAATTCTAATTTTGACTATGAATGCAAGATGTGCCAAAATGGAACTAGGCACTGATCCTAGAAAGATAAGACCATGAAAGTACACTTTAAGACAATACATTTCAAACTTCTGGTGTTTATCATATATCAGTGATCCCACATTAATATCTTAATGTGCATAAATACAGGGGGAAAATGATTTATGAAATCCAGAGAAAATACTAACTTCATTATTGATAGTTTCTCCTTTAATAGAGTTAAATAAAATTTCAACATATGATTCACAGAAATATTTGGCTTTTCAAAATAACTGTTAATACTTTATTTTTTTAATTTTATTTTTAATATTTATTTTTCAGTAATATTTTGAAAAAAATAATTTTTACTAATTTTACATCACACCAGGAAATGTAAATTGGAAAATGTTAAGCATTAGCAAAAAATTAAAAATATAAAAATTTAAGTACTGTTAATAACATTAACAATTTGGTAATTTCAATAAACGAACATAGGGACGCCTAGTGTGATAACACACAGAATTGGCATTCACTGTATGTTTGTAGAAGGAATATTAAATTAAACCATTTAATGAATATGAACTACAAACATTTTGGTAGAAGACAGTGTGCCATAATGTCTTTTTGGTAAGGGGTAAAGGTTGAATTTATTTACTTATTTTCATAATTTTTTTCCCAATCCTGGGCATCAAACCTAGTGTGGTCCAAGCATACTGAGCAACTAGTCTTCCACTAAGCCACATCCCTAACCCCATAATATATTAATATGCATAAATATAGTGGGAAATGACTTTTATGGAATCCAGAGGCTGCTCCAAAAGTTAAGAGAGCTCAATGGTCAATTTTTTTTAATATATTTTTTTTAGTTGTTGATGGACCTTTATTGTATTTATATGTGGTATTGAGAATTGAACCCAGTGCGCCTCACACATGCTTAGGCAAGCAGTCTGAGCTACAACTCCAGCCCTTCAATGGTCAATATTTTAATTAAGTAGGGGGAAAAAAAAAAAATCACAGCTACCCTAAATATCTATCATTAGGAAAATATTTAAAATATAATATCTGTCCTTAAAAAGACTAATGCAGCCATTATGAAATGTTTTTACAAGTAATCTACATCACAACATTTCTTCACTTATTAAAAAATGTATTCAGGATAAAAACTGGAAGGCAACAAACAAAAAAGCTAACTGTTGCTTCTTGTTACTGAGATTACATCCCCCCACCATACTCTTTTTTTCTCTCTGTACTTTTCAGAAATTGTGTTCTAAACACTACTATAGAATCCTTTTTTTTTTTTTTGTAATACAGAGGATTTCCAGGGCACTTAATCACTGAGCCATATCCCCAACCCTTTCTTATATTTTAAGATAAGGTCTTGCTAAGTTGCTTAGGGCCTCGATAATTTGCTCTGAACTCACAATCCTCCTGCCTCAGCCTTCCGAACTGCTGCCCCACTTACCTGACTAGATTCTCATTTAATAGAAAGATAATAGAATTTTCTAAGGGGCATAATAAATATTAATGGAGAAAATAATCTTATCAGGAGTATATGATTAACATTTAAAAATAACACTATTGTTAGCACCTATCATATGCTGGTCACACACATGCTAGATTTCTATTCCTCTCAATTTATAAAGTAGAAATTACAACTCCCTACCTACATTTTACATGTAGAAAAATGGAGATCAGAAGGGTTAAGGAACTCATCTAAGATCAGAGAGTAAGGAATCCAGGCTTTGATCTTTACAACCCCACACTTGATACTCTTAATTAACTTGGGCTGTCTTCCCCATAGAATGCAGGATTTTCAGTGACCAGTCTCTTAACATGGAATCATGGTATTTACCATTTAACCTGGTTTCAACAACCTCAAAGAAATAAATTAACAACGTTAAAAATTAAAATTCAACTCATTTCTGTAAGATTAAAAAGCAAACTATCTTTGCAGGGTGCAGTGGCACATGCTTAGTAATATCACCAACTTAGAAGGCTGAGTCAGGGGGATCAAGTTTGAGGTCAGAGGCAAGTCTGGGTAACTTTGTGAGACTCTGTTTCAAAATAAAAAAATTTAAAAGGGCTGGGGATGTAGCTCAGTGGATGAGCATCTCTGAGTTTAATCCCCAGTGTCCAGGGCAGGATGGGGGGAAGCAAATTATCTTAATATATATGCTGAGTCTAAAATGTTCATGACATTTCTGGATAAAAAGGAATTATCCTGCATTTCAGTAATTTAAAATATTATAAATTTTATTAATAGTAGAAAAATACCAACTTTTTCCCATCAAAAGAGGTAATCTGAAAACAATATCGCCTGTCTTCACAGTCCACAGCCATCACTGAACAGTTGTCTATGTCCATGGCCAGGCCTCCTGCTACATCGCCACGGGCTTGACTCATTAAGTTTCCACCCTGCGTGAAGTAAAACTGTCTATCCCAGGTAGATGACACCAAGCCTGTTTTACTAAATGAAGAGAATACATTCATATTTTAATAATGACGTACCTAAAATCACCTTATCATCCAGAAACAAGATAAAGCATGTTACAAAGAACCAGCTTGCAAAAAAGTTACCACAGTGCAAAGAAAATATGAACATCAGTTTTTCAGTCTCCTAAAACAAATTTACTCATATTGACTCGCTCGTGTGAATGTACCTTTTCCAAAATAAGGCTGGAAATTATCAAATTTCAGCTATGTAATCATGGTCCATAAAAAGTAAGTTATATTTTAATATTCAAAAGAGATAAATTCAAAACAAAAGAAGAATTTATTTTATTCTTAGGGTTAACCCATTTCATCCTATCTTCAGGTGAAAACTAAAATTTGACTTGATTTTGTAATTATATATAAAATACGATAAATGACATTAACAGCACTCACATTATAATAGATTTAAACTTAAATTGGTTTCATTTTTTAATTCCAAATTATTCAATAAATATTTATTCAATAAATTCAATATTCACTAAATAAATTCAAATTATCCAATAAATATCATGACAGATTAGGCCCCAACTTCCTTAACAAGACTCCTAAAGCATAAGAAATAAAATCAAGAATCAATAAATGGGATGGATTCAAACTAAAAAGCTTCTTCTCAGCAAAAGAAACAATAAGGTGAAGAAAGAGCCTACATTTTGGGAGCAATTATTGGCCACACACACACATCAGATAAAGCACTAATCTCCAGGATATATAAAGAACTCAAAAAAAAAAAAAACACCCCAAACAATCTAATCAATAAAAGGAGCTGAACAGACACTTCATAGAAGAAGATATACAGTTGATCAACAAATATATGAAAAAATGTTCAACATCTCTAGTAATTAGAGAAATGCAAATTAAAACTAAGATTTCATCTCACACCAGTCAGAATGGCAGTTATCAAGAAATATGATATGTTAAGAGCCTTGTAATGTTTTGAACAACCAATAAAAAAAAAAAAAAAAAGAATACAAACAACAATAAGTGTTGGTGATGATGTGCGGGAAAAGACACATTCACACACTGGTGGTTGTGCCAATTTGTAGTCCCACCAGCAATCTGGAATGCAGTATGGAGATTCCTTAGAAAACTTGGAATGGAACCAACATTTGACCCAGCTAACCCACTCCTTGGTCCATACTGAAAGGACTTAAGATCAGCAAACTATAGTAATGCAGCCACATCAATGTTTATAGCAGCTCAATTCACAACTGTTGAACTAACCTAGATGCCCTTCAATAGATGAATGGATAAAGAAACTGTGGTGTATATATACACAACGGAATTTTACTCAGCAATAAAAAATAATAAAATTAGGGCATTTGCAGGTAAATGGATGCAGTTGGAGAATGTCATGCTAAGCGAAGTAAGCCAATCCCAAAAAACCAAAGGCCGAATGTTCTCTCTGGTAAGTGGATGCTGATCTGTAATGGCAAAAATGGAGGAACTGTGATTGGGCAAAGGGAAGGGAGGGGGGGTTATGGGGCAAAGGGGCAGGAAAGATGGTTGAATGAGATGAACATCATTACCCTAGATACATGTATGACTGCACATATGGTGCAACACTATATCACGTACAACCAGAGAAATTTGTGCTGCAATTGTGTAGAATGAATCAAAATGCATTCTGCTGTCATATACACCCAATTAGAACAAATAAATAAATTTTTTTAAAAAATCCACATTGTTCAATAACTATCTAGGTAGAAAAGTTTTCATTCATGTACCTTATCTATCATCAAGTTCACATAAATACTAACATCACTAAAAATTAGGTTCAACCTCTAATAAATCAAAACAATTTGGCAGGATATATTATATTGATAATACCAAATGAATATTATATATATATATATGTAAAATGATATACAATGCATGAAAATAACTAGTTTTCTTACTTTCTAGCATTAAGGTATCCAGCCTTTCGGGTTAAGTTTCGATTAACAGGAAATTTTGTGGGGTCTGGGTCAGGCACATATAAAGGGTCACTGGCTACTTCCAAATCCTCTATTGTCTGCTGCATGGTCTCTACATCACTGTCCATTTCCCTGCGAACACTAACAGAAAGGAATATTTACAGCAAGCCACACCAACAAAGAACTTCTTACCAATCAGGTTTACCTGTATATTTGTTTTGTACATATTTTTTAAAAAGAGATAATCAGTGGCATAGGTGGTTAAATCGACATAAATACATTTTCTACAGCTTTACATTTTAGATATTTTAGAAACAATTCTAAATTCAAAACTAATGAATGCCTGACTTCTGTCTTATGAACAGTATTCATTTTTTAGAGCTGGGGACTAATTCAGTGGTATAGCACTTGCCTAGCATGCATAAGGCCCTGGGTTTGATCCTCAGGACAGGAAAAAAAATCATTTTCATTTTTATCTCTCTCCATACCTCAGAATGATCACATTACTGCTCAGACTTTTGAACCTAATCAGAATGCAGAACAATGTTTTCTCTCTCTCAAGTTTCATGGCTTGGAAAACGACATTTAATCAGTAATATCCCAAGCAATCCCCACAATTTGGAGTTTAAAGATAATTTCACTTACAATTAATTATTATTATAAGTCTGTTTTACTCAGACATAAAAGCTAGTTCTGTATCATTAAAATTATTCTCAAAGTTTGACACTGTTATAAAATTCAGTTTACATTCTAGGGAAAAGATGATTTAAAAAACCAAGAAGCATCCATAAGCTGTGGGAGAAACACTCTCAAGTTAGGGAAAATACTTCCTCAAGAAATTAAGTTGTTGGCTAGGGTTGTGGCTCAGGGGTGGCGTGCTTGCCTAGCATGCATGGGGCACTGGGTTCAATTCTCAGCACCACATACAAATAAATAAATAAATAAAGGTCCATCAACAACTAAAAAATATTTAAAAAAAAAAAAAAGAAAGAAATTAAGTTGTGGGGCTGGAGTTGTGGCTCAGTGGTAGAGCACTTGCCTAGCATGTGTGAGGCCCTGGGTTTGAGTCTCAGCACCACATATAAATAAAATAAAGGTCTTTAAAAAAAAAAAAAAAGAAAGAAATGAAGTTGTAAGTATTTTTAAGTTATGGCATTTAGCTGTTAACTTATTCACATCATTTCATTTTCAATTTTAAGGGAAAAATACTTACTTCTGTACACTTGTTCCAATATTAGCTAAAAATTCTTCCAACTGTTCATTGAGATTTTCAGAACCCATCTTAAAGAAACTTATCTGGGGTAGAGGAGGAATGGAGGATCAAACAACACAAACATACATAAAAGAATACTTCAGTCAATCACATAAAAAATATCTAAGATACATGGTTAAATAAAAACCAAAGGATTATTCCATTTGTGTAATAACAGGTTTCAGTTTACAACTTCTACTACGCAAAGAATCACTGAGAATATTTAAGTGAACAAATTATATGTATATATATATATATACCCAAACTGATATATGCTAAATAATTTATGAAAATGAAAATAAATTTTGAAGCATTTTCAAACAAATCATATAGATAAACTATTTCATATTTACTACAAAGATAAGTTTTAAATCTGAGGAACAGAAAATACTCTTAAAACTGAAGGATCTTCAAATTTCTTTAAACCCCTGATTTTTAAGGGCCTGACATATTATATCACCCCAAACTCAGTTTCCTAGCGTCCTTCCTGATGCACGTCTCTTTGGGTACTTGAGAGTTCATCTATTACTTTAAACTCAGAAAGTGTACAAGGAACATGGGACACACAAATTTGTTCACTCTCTTTCAGATCTATTATGAAGCAAGGAGGGGTAGAATAGCAATAGGTATAACTCTGGAATTCATTTAGCTTCTGCTTTCTATCCCCAACTGTGGTGAACAGGGTCTAAATACAACATAAATGGTATCATTTAATCCAAAATACTGAAATCTTTATTACTTTTTAAAACCCAAACACACTGGGCACAGTTGATATGCCCAGAATCCCAATTACTTGATAGGATGAGGCAGGAAGATAGCAAGTCTGAGGCCATCCTGGGCAACTTAGAAAAAACCCTGTCTCAAAATAAAATAAAAAGGATTAGGGATGTAGCTCAGTGATAACAGCACTTGCCTAGAATGCATGTGTCCATGGATTTGATCCCTAGCACTATGCAAATAAATAAATAAATAAAACCAAGACACAAATGAGTATGTTAAGAATAGTTTATGGGGCTGGGATTGTGGCTCAGAGATAGAGCGCTCATCTAGCACGTGCGAGGCCCTGGGTTCGATCCTTAGCACCACATACAAATAAATAAAATAACGGTATTATGTCCAAGTACAACTAAAAAATACATATTTTTAAAAAAAATGATTGGGGGGGCTGAGATTGTGGCTCAGCAGTAGAGCGCTCGTCTAGCATGTGTGAGACTCTGGCTTTAATCCTCAGCACCACCACATAAAAATAAAAACAAATAAAAATATTGTGTCCAACTACAACTAAAAAAAAAAATTTAAAGAATAGTTTATAATACATTTAATAATTTAATATAAATACCAAGCTTGACACAAAGCTTTTTTGGTGGGGTGTGGGTACCAAGGATTTAACTCAGGGACACTTGACCACTGAGCCACATCCCCAGCCCTATTTTGTATTTTAGAGACAGGGTCTTACTGAGTTGCTTAGTGCCTCGCTTTTACTAAGGCTGGCTCTGAACTCATGATCCTTCTGCCTCAGCCTCCTGTGCCGCTGGGATTACAAATGTGTGCCTTAATGTAAAGCTTTTCAGTTATACCAAAACAGCACAGGAGTTGAGGATTTAGCACAGTGGTAGAGCACTTGTCTAGCACATGCAAGATCCTAAGTCTCAATTCTCAGCACCATGAAAAAAAAAATATATATATAGTATTTACCTGAGCTTGCATGTACCCAAGTAGAGGTTCTAACAATGCTATCTTCTTCTTGTATTGAAGAGTATTTAATGCACAAAAATAATGCATCATGGTCTGGTGCTGTTTTTTTCTGGAAGTATACACATCTTCTGTTACTTCATATTTCACCTTTGAATGAAAAGATTTAAAAAATAGTATTATTTCCTTATATTTATTTCTCATTTATTTATTTATTGTGGTGCTGGGGTTGAACCCAGGGCCTTGTGCATGTGAGGCAAGCACTCTACCAACTGAGCTATATCCCCAGTCCTTATTTCCTTACTTTTAAATTATCTTCCATGGTGGCTATGGGGAAGAGCCTACCAAGGAATATATATCACTGAACAGTTTTCTGGTCTATTAGAAATTCTTCAACATAGTAAGTTGATTTTCTTGTTTCACTACCAGCCACATAATTTATAAAATGCATATTTGCATGTAACCAAGAATGTAAATATCTAAACTAAGCATGGCAAAGAAAGTCTACATGGAGGAAAGGCACACAATGGTTTGTTACTAACTTCACCATTAGTTTTAACCTCAATCAGTTCACAGCATACATTCTCCCCTTCTGGCTCTCTCTCCTCCACACTTACTCTTCTACTTGTCTTCCTTCACTTACACTTAGAATACATGTGCTCCCCTAGGTTCTTTCATTCAGACAACAAATATTTATTGAGCATCTGTTATATTAACATGCACTAGGCTCTTCTCTTTTCCTCCTCTCCTTTGAATACCTGATGAAGTACCAAGAATATTCCAAAATACCAATGACTCAGCAATCACAAATTTTTAATCCCCTGATCTTTACTCAAAAGTGCCAAGGGGAAAACATCTCCAGCTGGGTTCTTTATATGTTTATGTGTGTAATATGTGTATGTGTGTATGCATTGGAAATGTACAGGTCAGTATCCTTCCCACAAAATTCGCTCTCCTACATTACTTCTTGCCTCTCTTAATTAGTCCAGGACCCCTCAGTCATCCAAATAACCTAGGCATTATTTTTTTTAAATATTTATTTTTTTAGGTATAGATGGACACAACACAATGCCTTTATTTTTATGTGGTGCTAAGGATTGAACCCAGGTCCCGCCCATGCTAGGTGAACGCTCTACCACTGAGCCACAATCCCAGCCCCCTAGGCATTATTTTTTATTCCCCCCTCCTACTAAAGACCTTATCAATTCTATTTATGAAATACTTCCAAAAAGTATTCCTTCCTCTCCTCTTTCAATAACATGAGCCAAGGTTTTCATTATATCTTTGCAAACTAGCTGGGTATGGCGGTGCCTTTAATCCCACTGACTCAGGAGGCTGAGCCAGGAGGATTATGAGTTCAAAGCCAGTCTTGCTAAGTTGCTTAGAGCCTTGCTAAATTGCTAAGGCTGGCTTATAATAAAATACAAAAAGGGCTGAGGATGTGGCTGAGTAGTTAATCTTCCCTGGGTTCAATCCCCGATACCCACCCCCACCAAAAAAAAAAAATCTTTGCAAAGTATTCCAATTCTTCCTATTGAATTCCCTCTAGTCTCAATCTCTTCACGTTTTCATTAGTGTTTTATTCTGTAACACAACTGCATCGTGTTACTTATTGACAGAATTCTCTGTTGGCTGCTCACTCTAACACAGATTTCAAGGTCATTAATATACTGGCCCCAATCTACTTTACCTTCATTTCTGCCTTATCTCCCCAAACACATTCAGTGTTCCAGACATACTGTAATGATTATCTTCACATCATCATCATCATAATTATGGCTAAAATTTAGTGAAAACTTGTTATGAAACAGATACTTTGCATGCATTACCTATTTCATCTTCACAATTATTGAGATGTTTCTGATAGTGAAATAGAGGCTTGCAACTAAGTAAAAGTGCATGACCTCAGGCAAATTAATGGCAGAGCTTTGTTCCCAGTCTGACTCCAGAGCCAGTGCTCTTAACCTCTGTACTATCCCAACTCTACCACATGCATCTGCAAAGGCTTTTTTTTTTTTAATATCCTTGTTGCAATCCCTTAACAGTGATCTTCAATGCAAATGCTACCTCCTAAAAGAATAATATTCCTGATTCACCAAAACTCTCAACATTTCAGTAAAACCTCTGTTACTGCACTTAACTGGTATTAATTCTTACTCTCATTATCCTTATACTCTGACACCTGGACTAATTGCATGCTTTCACACAAAAGCCTTCAATAAAATGTGGAGTATCCACTCCTGTCCTCCAGGAGCCTACCCATATTGTTCTCCCAAGGTACCCCACATACAGCTTGTCATAAGGTAGGTGCCCAATACATTTAAAAAAAAAATTTAGTTGCAGATGGATACAATACCTTTATTTATTTATTTATTTTTATGTGATGCTGAGGATCGAACCCACTACCTCACACATGCTAGGCAAGCGCTTTACCACTAAGCCAAAACTATAGCCCCTCAATACATTTTTTAAAACTTTTTTTTGTTGTAGATGTACACAATATCTTTGTTTTATTTATTTATTTATTTTATGTGGTGCTGAGGATCGAACCCAATGCCTCACACCTGCTCAACCTCAGCCTCCTTCAATATATATTTTTTAAATATTTGTTTTTTAGTTGTAGTTGGCACAATACCTTTATTTATTTACTTATTTTTATGTGGTGCTGAGGCTTGAACCCAGGGCCTTACACATGCTAGGCGAGCACACTACCACTGAGCCACAACCCCAGCCCCAATACATTTTTAATTTAAAAAATGGTGAGAAATATTTTTTTAAAAATACTTGTGGGGCTGGGGTTGTAGCTCAGTGGTTAAGCACTTACCTCACATGGGGCACTGGGTTCAATCCTCAGCACCACGTATAAATAAATAAATAAATAAATAAATAAATAGTGTCCATCTACAACTAAAAAAAAATATTTAAAAATAAAATACTTGTAACAGCCAGCGGTAATGTAAAACATGCCAAATTTTATACTCTAGAGCTTTTAACTATGTCCATAAGGCAGAGTGACTAAAATGCAGATCTTGAAATGTATATACTTCATAAGTTTTTTCAGTATCAAATTTCTGAACTAAAATTAGAAATGGAAAGCAGATCTTTGGATTGAACTTTGTGTGAGAAACATTGTCTTTATTGTCATAGTGACTGTTACACAGTGTTACGGTTTAGCTATAAGGCATTTCCCCAAAAGTTCATGTGTGAAATAATGCAAGAAAGTTCAGAAGTGAAATGATTGGGTTATGAGAGCTTTAATGTACTCAGTGCATTAATCCTCTGATGGGAAGTAATCGGGTGGAAACTGCAGGGAATTAGGGTGTGGCTGGAGGAGGTGGGTCCCTAGGGGCATGCCTTTGGGAAGGGCTCTTTCTCTTTGCTTCCTGGTGCTGTGTCCCCAACAGCTCTCCTCTACCCTACTCTTCCACCATGATGTTGCCCCTCACCTGTTGCCCCAACAAATGGAGTTGTCCTTCTATAGACTGAGATTTCTGAAACTGTGAGCCTCAAAATAAATTTTTCGTTCACTGGGGTTGTAGCTCAGCAGTGGAGCACTTGCTTAGCACATGCGAGGCCCTGGGTTTGATCCTTAGCACCACATAAAATAAATAAATTAAATAAAGGTGTTGTGTCCACTACAACCAAGAAGTAAATTAAAAATAAATAAATAAAGTTTTCCTCCTCTAACTGTTCTTATCAGGTCTTTTGGTTATAGAAGTGAAAAGGCTGACTAAAACACACAGTAAGTCATACTCAGTTGTGGATTCCCACAAGTAGTTACTGTGCCTCTCTGGGCAGCTGCAACCAAGAATGCAGACACTAAGTCCTAGGCACAGATATCTCAACTCACTCTCAAGCATCCAATAAGGCCTACACATCAAACCTTGGATTAGGCACTGGAGAGAGCTGATTTTAAGGAGCACTCAGCTGATATTGCTAATATTCTTTAATCTTTACTTCAATGTTTTTCTCTTCAAATATAAGGTAATATTTCTAGAAATTCACTCCTTAAGGAGAAATATTCTCAGTAAATGAAGAGGGCCTCATAATAACTTCATTGGAATTGGGTCTTTAACAATTCAACTTTTTGATTACTGTGTCTCATTTCTGTATACATGGCCAAATGAAAACAGAACATATGCAATGTTATCAAAATACAAAGCAAAAAAAAAATACTGATCATCATTTACATTTATGTTTATGATTTATCAAATTCTGGCAGAAGGAAAGTATTTCATTTAGAGACTAAAAATTATCAAAAAGGTTTTTGAATAGCTAACAGGAAAAAATAAAGTAGGAGTAGGAGCAGTACAGCAAAACATACAAATCAACTACTGACTATTTTTAAACTGGGAACACCGAACCACCTAATGAAATCATCATTAATTGTGATACTGAAGGAGTAAGTATGTATCACACCTTGTCATTTTCTCTTTTTTTTGACAATCGGCTATATCTGTTAATTGCAGCATCATGATCTGGAAAGCAGAAATGAGTGTTAACAATAATACAATAGTATTTTACAAAAGGTATAAATACTTTAAGTAGTCTTCACATCTGCATCTTTCTGCATATACTAAAGTAAGGAAAAAATTCCCTATCACCTGATAAGAATGTTCAAATTTTCCCCACAGCCAAATTTTCCTGTAAACTATGTGTCTACTTAATCTAACTAGTATATGAAAGCAACATTTAATTCCAAGGAAACAATAATCCACTAAAAGTTTTTCAAAGTATTTTAGTTCAAAAACAGCAAATGCTCATTAAAGAAAAACTGGAATATATACAAAAAATAGGAAGGTAAAATACTGTATCACTTCTTTAGGCATTATAAAGATAATAAACTAAAAGATGTAACTGTCGTTACAATTGTTTCTTATAAACAGCATATTTAAGTAACAACATTGATATAAATAATGACCACAAACTTTTAATTACACACATCTTTTTCAATTATTACAAAGAATCAGCCATGATATTATACATAAATGCATCAATAAAATAAATAATGTAAAGTATTCAGGGCTTACCGTTACTAGCGATCTGAAACACTTCTTTTAATGTCAGTATTTCTGAAAAAGTTTAAAAGAATAATTTCAGCTTAGCATAGTTAAAAAATATCTAAGTTTGTTTATAGGGTTGGAGATATAGGTCAGTGATAGGGTGCTTGCTTAGCGTGAATGAGACTCTGAGTTCAATCCCCAGCACCACACACACACACAAAAAAAAGTTTGCTTGCAAAGCAATAATAAATGCTACTTCAGTTATAATTAAAACTCTAAATAGTATTTTATACTTCCACATTCAAAGTAAAAAAAAAAAAAATCACTGTGTTTCGGCTAGTCTGGTACATTTACCATCATTAGCAAAACTTACACTTCCAGAAAATCTACTTGTCACAAATTAGTAATATGACATAAATTTTAAAACCCATTACAAATACTAAGACAAGTAAATATTTTGACTCAGTACCAGTATCTAGATATTTACTAATTTGTTTTTTGGATATATGACTCTAATAATTTCAAATGCTGAATGAGAAACAAAGCACATTTTATCAATAAGATAATGCCATTCAGTACCCTTAGACTGCGAGAAAATAATTCTTATTTCTTGACATTGGAGATGTCCATTTTTGAGCATCATTGCAATTATTAACTCCATCTCTAAAATCCATTGGTCTTTATTCCATCTTAAACACTTTACCATTCACTGACACATTAGTTCAATTTTTTTTTCCTATTTTGGAAATAATCCTGTATGAGAGTTTAAAAATTATAATAAGAGCCAATTCTATAAAACTCTCCTTTTATCACCTAGTAACCCTAAATTGGCAAAAAAAAAAAAATAACCACAAACTACTAAGTCATAGGTTGTTAGATGTGCTGGCATCCCTGCCTTCTGCTATGCCCATACAAACCTCTATACTCTGTGCCACTATCCTAATCCAGGTCTTGGTTATACCTCATTGAACTCTCACAACTTCTTAGTCCATTCTCCTACACACCAAATCCACACAATCCCATCCTCCAAATACAAAAGGATTGTGGCTCTTTACTACTAAAAGACCTCCATTGGCTTCTCTTTGTTCATAAACTCAAGTCCAACATCTTTAGCATCATCTAGTTCATCTAATTCTAGATTTATCTGCTGCCTTGCCCTGACACATTCAACACTGCAGTCACACTGAATTTCTTATTATCCTCAAAACAAGGTATATATATCTATTCAGCCATACGTTTGTGCATTCTAGTCTCCCTAACAACAGTGATTCTTCTCCTGGCACATTTTTTCTCATTGTTCAGTGTTCAGGTCACATCTTTGGTGAAGCCTTCTTGACTCTCCTCTGAGCCCTCACAGAACCTTCTCATTCCCTAATTAAAAGAGAGACAGTGTCCTAATTATGTGTTTACCTATCTCTTTCTCTAGGATTTCTCCAGGAAAGGGATACTTTATAATAGTATTTGTCAGTATATAGTTTAATACCTATCAAAAGCTCCTATAAATGTTTGGTGACTGATAATAGTAAAAGTGGCACAGGCAGTGGTCTGAAATGGTTTAGGTATAAAGTAAAACGCATCTTACAAGAATTGATCTTCTGGCAACTGACAAAAGTAAATACAAGCCCTTGACTTCAATACCTTTCAGATCTCTTTCTTTAAACTGGGTAATGGGGAACATCATGGCATCAGCAAGTTGAGTTGAGAGTACAGCATGACAAGAGCTAAGCTAGTAAAAGAAAGACAAAAAAGGCCAAATAACTAACAGAAACCATTTTAACTAATAAATGTCATTATAGAGCAATCTAATTTTTTTAAAAAAACTAATACATTAATGTGATAAAAAGTATCATATAGCAAAAAAAAAATCCATTTAAAACTCTTAAAAAGAAAACTTAAAGTGATCCTGGACTTGGCAATGATTTTTTTTTAATTTCTTTTTGTTCTTTTTAGTTATACATGACAGTAGAATTTATTTTGACATATTATACATACATGGAATATAACTTCCCATTCTTGTGGTTGTACATGATGTGGAGTTATACTGGTCATATATTCATATATGAACATAGGAAAGTTATGTCCAATTAATTCTACTGTCTTTCCGATTTCCATCCCACCTCCCTTTTGTTCACCTTTGTCCACCTTTGTCTAATCCAGTAAACTTTTATTCACCCCCACCCCCATGTGTGTTAGCATCTACATATTAGACAGAACATTTGGCCTTTGGTATTTTGGCATTGGCTTATTTCACTTAGCGTGATAGTCTCCATTTCCATCCATTTACTAGCTAATGCCATAATTTCATTCTTCTTTATGGCTGGGTAATATTCCACTGTGTACATATACCACCTTTTCCTTATCCATTCATCTGTTGAAGAGCACCTAGGTTGGTTCCACAGATTAAATCCTTTAGGTATGTGCCAAGGAGTGGGATAAGTGGGTCAAATGGTAGTTCCATTCCAAATTTTCTAAGGAATCTCCATATTGCTTTCCAGAGTGGGTGCACCAGTTTGCAGTCCCATGAGCAATGTATGAGTGTAACTTTTTTCCTATAGTCTCTTGTCAACATTTATTATTACTTGTATTCTTGAAAATTGCCATTCTGACTGGAGTGAAATGAAATCTCAGTGTGGTTTTAATTTGGCAATGATTTCTTAGACATGATACCAAAAACACTTCAAAATAAAATATAAATTGTACTTCACCAAAATTAAAAACTTTAATGCATCAAAGGATACTATCAAGAATGTGAAAAGGTAAACCATAGAGTGAGAGCAAATGTTTGTCAATTACTTACCTAAGTAAGAAACTTGTATTTAGAATACAGAACTCTTAAAACTCAATAATGAAAAGGCAGAAAACCCAACTTAAAGTGGGCAAAGAATCTAAATAGACATTTCTCTGAAGATATACAAATGGCTGATAACCACATGAACAGATGCTCAGTATCATTAACTATCAAGAAAATGCAAATCAAAATGATAATGAGATACCACATGACATGCACTTAGATGGCTCTAATTTTTAAAAAAATGGGAAAATCCATTTTTGGCAAGAACGCAGAAAAGCTAGAACCCTCCAATATTGCAGGTGGCGATATGAATGGAACGGGCACTGGTGAAAATTGGTGATTTCTCAGAGTTAAACATAAAGGTACATTCCAGGCCAGCCTTGGCAACTTAGCAAGCCCCTGTCTCAAAAACAAAAACATAGGGGCTGGGGATGTGGCTCAAGCGGTAGCACACGGGGAGCTGGGTTCAATCCTTAGCACCACATAAATAAAATGAAGATGTTGTGTCCACTGAAAACTGAAAAATAAATAAATAAATAAACATAAAGTTGCCATATAACCAAGCAATCCCACTCCTAGACATATACTTCAAAGAACTGAAAACTGGTGTTTGAAAAAACCAAACTTGAATATGTATGATCACAGCAGCACTATTCATACCAGCCAAAAGGTGGAAAGAGCCAAAATATCCATAACAAACAGACAAATCAAATATGGTATACCCATACAATGACATTTTATTCAGCCAAAAAAGAAATGAAATGTTGACACATTACAACATGAATATACCTTTCACACATGCTAAATGAAAGAAGATAGATACAAAAGTCCATAAATTATATGGGTCCTACTATATGAAATATTCAAAACAGGCAAATACAAATTTTTTTTTTGGTTTTCTTTTTCTTTTTTTGGTACTAGGGATTGAATCCAAGGGCATTCAATAACTAGCCACATGCCTGGTCCTTGTTATTTTTTAAGATAGAGTCTAGGTAAGTTGCATAGGGCCTCACTACATTGCTGAGCCTGGCCTTGAACTTGTGATCCTCCTGCCTCAGCCTCTCAAGTTACTGGGATTACAGATGTGCACTACCACACCTGACTCAAAACAGGCAAATCCAAAGAGACAGAAAGCAGATTAAGTTGTTACCAGGAACTGGGAAGAATAGGAATGGAAAAGTGATGGCTTAATAGGTAGACAGTTCCTTTGGGATGATGAAAATGTTCTAGAACTAGACAGTTGTGATGGCTACATAACATTTTGAATGTATTAAATGTCACAAGTGACAAATTTTATAGTATTTTACCATATTTTTTTAAATGAAAAGCATTCCATTTCCTATAAATATTATTTCTTTACACTACTCTCCTAGGATAATATTCTGCCATAAAGAATTATTAAAATATTTTAAAATTGGTGCTGAAGGTATATCTCATGGTTGAAAGCTCTTCCTAGCACATACAAGGCCCCAGGTTTATTCCCCAGTATGGCAAAAATGTGTGTGCGTGTGTGTGTGTGTGTATGTGTGTGTGTATACACACATATATATACAAAGTATTTTCATGCAATACTAGAGAACAATTATTGAACTCTACATACATCTCTCACTATCTTTCTTCTTCCTACCTTCTAGGTCTGTTTTGTTTTGTTATATGATTGGTTAAAGATGACTGGTTTGAGAAACCAATAGTCAATTTCAGCTGTTTGGGATAGAAGGATTAATAAGGACTGAATAGTAAAATGTTGCTTAATGACAAAATAGAAGCCACAAAGGGTTTAGCCATAGTTCACAGCTTCACTCTTCTCTCGATGCCTACATCAAATAACAATGAAAAAAAAAATAATACACGGACTGGGAAGAGAGAAAGCCCATGTTGGCTTGTTCCTCAAAAACGATTTATTTTAATTAGATAAAGAAAATATTATTTTTATAAGATAGCAACCAGGATGTGAAAATAAGGTACTTCTTTAAGTTTTATAACAAAGCTTTACTCATATAATCATAACAATAAAAGTTCCCAATAAAAAAACGAATAACTTGAGTAACTTAATTATAAAATAACTTATTCAAGCAAAATAAATACTTACCTCATCTATAACTTTTGAAAACTGTTGTAAAGTAGAGCTCATAACTTCATCATCACCCCTCAATGGAAAACGCTAAAAAAATGTTAAACAGAGATGAAGTAAAAGTTCAATACTATATGAATCTTGTAACTGATAGCATCAGAATTTAAATTTTCAAGTAACTTCAGAAAATTTCTAAATTTCAAATAAGCTCCAGAAATGTCATTTTTAATACAGTAATTTTCATAATTAAGAAACATTATATTATGCTAGGAATTCAGTGATTTGGAATTTAGCTCCAGTTCCTCCAAAATCCCTGTAATCTTGAGCAAGACTGTTTCTTCATTTGTTAAAAAATAAATAAATAAATGAAAGGTAAACTAGATAACCTCGGTACCTAGCATTAAATCATTATAATTATCTCAACATAAGGGCTATACTGAAATCTCAATGGCATATTTTGTGAAGTCAGGAAAGCTTAAAGATTCTTGATGAGGAAGTCCTTATCTGTACAGATACAATATTATGGTATATTTTAAATCATGCTCTTAAATATCTGATATTCGATACCTGTTTTTCATATTCTTTTAAAAGTTTCGAAGTCAGGTGTGTTGCTGCACTTAATTCATTCTATGGAAAAAGATTAGTATTCAAATTAGCACAATATTACTTATCAAGAAAAAAGTTTTAGTCAAAGATACATAGGCCACCTTTATTACTACCATTAAAGCATTTCAAAAAGAAACTCAACCATAAAAGAGAATTCAGCAAGGAATTCAGCAATGTTCCAAGTATGTGCTGCTGCTGCTGCTTTTCTTTGATAATAAAACTAAGCATTAAATATTTTTTGTAAAAAAATCTACATGCTATATTCTTTATTTTAAATTAATTTTAAAAACATCATATACAGTATGAAACCACTGATACATAGGTGCATTTTTTCAATTTTGTTTTTTTAGTGTTAAATATTTTAAAAGCTAAAAAGAAAACTGTACAAAGCCTTAGCAAAATCTTTAGATTCTACATAGATGACTGGTTATCATTCTCTCTAGATGCTGATGCCAGACTATAAGCATTTAATAACATACAACCAAAATATAGTTGTTGACTACTGGGCATGCTGTTGTATACCAATAATCCCAGTGGCTTGGGAGGTTGAGGCAGGAGGATCACAAGTTCAAAGATAGTCTCAGCAACTTAGCAAGGCTCTAAGCAACTTAGGGAGACCCGTCACCCTGTATCAAAATAAAAAATAGATGGGCTGGGATGTGACTCAGTGGTCAGTGGTTAACTGCCCCTGGATTTAATCCCTGGTACCCCGCCCCCCCAAAAAAAAGCAAAATGTGGTTGACTTAGGGGCTGGAGTAGTGGTAGAGCACTTGCCTGACACGTGTGAGGCACTGGGTTTGATTCTCAGCACCACATATAAATAAATAAATAAAAGGTCCATTGACAATTAAAAAATGTTTTTTAAAAAATGTAGTTGACTTGGTCATAACACAGCAACACAGTCATATGAAAGGGTTTTTTGTTTTGTTTTGGTATTGGGCATTAAACCCAGCAGGTACTTAATCACTGAGCCACAACCCCAGCCCTCTTCAGTCAAATCTTAAATGAAGACTACTATTAGTGATTTTTATTTTCTTTCAGTAATGGGGATTGAACCCAGGAAAACTACCATTGACCTATATCCCCAGCACTTTTTATTTTTTGAGACAAGGTCTCAATAAATTGCTGAGGCTGACTTTGAACTTGCAATCCTATTGCCTCAGCCTTCCAAGTCACTGGGATTAGAGGTATGAACTACAGCACTCAGCTACTTACCGTTTTTTTATTTATTTATTTATTTTTGGTACTAGGGATTGAACCCAGGGGTACTTAACTACTCAGACACAACCCCAGCCCCTACT